ATCAATTAGATAACAGCTTTCGTGCTTTTAGTTTTAACCAAGGTGGCGAGTATCTATTTGAGTTATTTTAGAAAAAACTCTGTGAAGAGAAATGGATGCTTAGAAAATTGATTATTCCTAATACTCAACAATACAATGGTGTAGTAAAGATAAGAAATTAAGTATTGTTAATGTTAGGTGGATGATAACGCAAAATGTTTCCCAATTGGGAATTGCACTTTAGTTTGTTGCCTATATCCCTAACTAAATGCCCTCCATATCAAATTTTTACACTCCATTTATGAAATGGGTTAGTGGAGAACCATCTATGGGCGATCTGTAACCGTTAAGCAGCTTATCTTTATTTTTACTTCTCATAAAGTTGCGAAGTTAAGGCCTGGAGTTCTATGGCGCATTATTGTATGCTGTCTTGTAAACACATAGGGTTCCGAGGCGCATTATTGTATGCTGTCATGTAAACCCTTCGAGTCATGTGCATATAGGTAAGTAGCTTTGTGGGAGTGTAACTAAGTCACATAAAGTTTTCTTAGTAAATTTGACGTGAATAGAGTTTTTGGAACTCTATAAGATAGAGAATTCTAAGCATAGCGCTCTATGTAGCCTAGTTGAGAATGGAAAGAAATTTCCAATATCCTAGGGACAGTGAGAGCGATGTGCTTACTAATAGATTATTCCATTAGAGAAGAATACTCTATATTCTTAGTTGCGTGGTAGCGAATGTGAAAATTTTCCACGTCATCACTAGGTGATTGAGAAGGAAACATTCATGATTGCTCCGTAAGATGATAAAGAGCCTAGGATAATGCCAAAGGCTCTAGTCCTCTGTTTTTAGAAAGTGGATCAATGTTGCGCAATTTAAGACAAAGTCTTTGAGGATTAACAATTTCTATAATTTGGTTGACTTTCCATTGTGATGCGAAACTGTTATGAGGTTATGCGCAATTTGGATAGTCATTGTTGAGGTATAAGGCTAGCTAGATATCGAAAAGTCGCACCATTGAGAAAAGTGTAGACCATGAGAAGACTTCCTCCTAGGGAGTGAGGTTATTTCGACTTAGGCTATGATTGACATAAGTTCGGAACATTAATTTGTGGACAATGTGACCCAACTTTCTCGTTAGAGAATTGGATAAGTAGATCCATAGGGATTTACCTTCTGCTTTTAGGGTGAAAAGTTAGGAGCGCAAAAAGGTTGCTAGTTCTAATAAATCTTTTACAGCCTAAAACAGTTATCTAAATAGTGGTTCTTAGATTTCGTCAAGTCATGATAGGCCAACGATGATCGATGAAGACCACTGAGGCATGATCAATGGTCCAAAAGAAGTTTTTCCTTACTTAGGCCTCGTTTGAGAATAGGCTAATTTAGTAACTTTTTGACTATTTGGCTAAAGTATGAGCTAAAAAAAACTAGTATGTTTAGGATGACTTTTTGATTTTTTACAAAAAGATGTGCAAAAAGTAGAGAGAAAAAAGAATCTTTGACTTTTTGGTATGGATTGTTGGCTTTTTGGCTAATTTAGTAACTTTTTGACTTTTTTGCTAAAATAGAGGGTTTCCAAACGAGGCCTTAGTCATTATGAGCCAGGAATTTATAAGGTTGTCACCACCTAGGGTGGGCAGTCCTCTATTTTAGATATGATGGACATGGGTGATGTAATTTATATGCTCAGATGTATGATCCTTAGGGATTGTTTTGGAAAAATTATCGGTTTGTCTTCGATGACTTACACAAGGAATATCCTAGAATGATTCTAGATGCAAAATTGCAAACCCATTGACTTATCTATCGGTAAAAGCCAGAGCCTTAGCTATTTAGTGTATCCTCATATTGTCTTTGAGAGAAACAGATGACCTATATTTCTTGATCTTTTCTTTGTTGTGGGACCTAAAGTACGCTTTGTGGGCGTATTCGGCATGATAAGTGTTATCTTTGGTAAATGGTCAACTGAGTTGTTTAGACATTGACCTTGCTCATTAGACTGTGGATAAAATACTTTACTAGTAGTATATTAATTTGCTCATTGTAAGATTCAATGCGCTAGTTGGGCGCATCAAGAATGAACGCAAATTGGTCATCAAAATATCTTTAGAGAGGTTATTGCGCAAGAGGTAGTGATCTTGAATCACTTCATGTGAGGCGCACATGGAGGATTCCATTGTATTTACTTATCACAAGAGGTGCTGATAAGGCTTATATTTGGAATCTAGAATTGCGCAAGTTGTGGTCATATTTTTTTTTTAGATCGATTACTTATTTGTTGTGAGATGATGGGATGTTGACACCATTATGGTTTGTGTCATAATGATTAGCAGATGATGATGTCAGCAGGCAAGATTGGCTCACTCACACGAGCAATCACCCTTGGCGCTTGGGAGCAAGCAAGGATGAGACTAGTGGTTTATTTTTATTTGGAGCCAAAAGAGGCTTTAATTATCCACTATGCAGGTTGCCTTGGTTACAACCAAGATGAGGTCATGTTAAGGACCAAACATGGATGTTAGTACCCACTTTCCATGTTGTGCCTGTTATGATTATCCAGATGCGAGATCTCATTTGGCACTTAGAAGGCGAGCAAATAGAGAATTCAGGTTAGGCGCTAGAAAGCGACTAGACTAATATTTGTACGGTGTATCGAGTATGACGTCATTCTTTTGGAAGAGTTACTCCACCGTAGCATGTATTCATACTATATGTGTTTGGCGACCGAATAATGAGGTGAGAGAATGGATCCCTGTTTCCTCACCATGTGAGTCTTACGTGTCATTATTGATATGACTTTCATTTATGTACCCTTTTGTGACTTTTGACTATGTCATAAGGTAAGGGGTTAAGGTTCTACTACTTTGGTATGTTGCCTGCGGTCATGTATGATTTGGCCTTAAGGGACATCACTGGAAAAGCGATCAATCTTAAACTAAATGGCATGAGGGCAAATGAAAGATCATCTAGTATTACACCACTGGTGTATATTCACTTCCGGCAACTCACATCGCTCCGTATGAGAGGCGGATTGAGTGTGAATGTATTGCAAGAATTGAGAGGGTCAAACATGTTCTTTTTGAGGGATTAGATATGTTTTTTGGACCGGTGTAATTAGATGGGTCTAGGGTATATGAGACACTATTTCTGTTCTTTTTAGGTTGATGTCTCTATGCTGGCTCATTTTGAGTTTCTATTATAGAGCTTCCACATGCAGGTGTTCTCAATAGTCGCACAGTGCATTGGCTAGTATGAGATTGTTATTTTTTGGAGAGATTGAGATAGAGATGTGGCAGTGTCATGCCAACTCATATGCAAGTGGGAGATGTTAGAAATTGGGCGCCCATGTGGCATGACCCTTTGAGCCTTTTGAACCTGAACCTTTTGAACCTTATTCATGTAAGTTTGAATTTGAATTCAAAATTTATTTGGATAACCACTCAAGATATCTATATCTATCATATCAACTAATATAGATAGATGATATAGATATCTTATTTTTGGAGAGATTGAGATAGAGATGTGGCAGTGTCATGCCAACTCATATGCAAGTGGGAGATGTTAGAAATTGGGCGCCCATGTGGCATGACCCTTTGAGCCTTTTGAACCTGAACCTTTTGAACCTTATTCATGTAAGTTTGAATTTGAATTCAAAACTTATTTGGATAACCACTCAAGATATCTATATCTATCATATCAACTAATATGGATAGATGATATAGATATCTTATATATCTAATATGATATGAGATATGGTTAATCAGAAAAACAACGTATGTTTTATATTTTTCCCATATACTGACTCTCTCCCAAAAACAACGATCAAGCCATTTTACACTGTGATTTGTGTATCACTCCACTGCTGGATTAGTTGTTCAATTTTTAGAAGCACATGATTTATCCACGAGATCCTTTACTTCAACCTCTACTTAAAGGTATAATTTTGAAATTAATCATCCGCTGCATCTTATACTATGATTTACATAAATATAGAAAAGAGATAAATAAAAGAGATAAACATCAAACAAAAATATAGAAATCACTTGAATACAATCATTGACCAACTGACCAAGACTTTGTGTGCAATATCAATTTTTGATTGGCGACAACGTAGAAAATTGAAAAAGAATATGCTTTATGCTTTCTCCCTCTCTCTTCTTCTTCTTCCTTTTTTTTTTTTTTTTTTTTAAAGAAAAAATTTCATATCAGTATGTTATAAAAAATAATTATAATTATTAATAATTATAATTATAATTTTTTTCATAACTTTGTAATAACTTTATGAAATTACCTCTTATTATTGGTAATTTTTCTTTTTTCAATCAAACAATACTTTATGCTTACCGTCTTCCTCGTTTTTGGTGCAAAATTAAACTTTCCTTACAATTAAGAATAAAAAAAAAAAAAAAAAAAAAAAAAAAAAAAAAACTCTACTCATACAAAAGATATTGGGATAATGTCATTTATGTACCTTCGTGTTTATTTTGTTTTAAGTAAAAAGTCGATATCAAATCACAAATTTTGAGTAGATAAAAACCACGCAAACTAACATAAAAGCTCATCAACCTAAGACGACGCCTCACCAAAGAATCAACAATCAACAATCTAAGGAAATGCATATAAACATAAGACCAAGAAAAAACCATACAACAGAGTAACACTACATATAGATAGATGCAACACTTGACCAAAGAATAATCAATCCAAGAAAAGGCAAATAAAAAAAGAAATTAAAAATAAAAACAAACATAAGACGATGAGGAATAACAAACAACAAACTAGAGGAGGCCACAAACTTCAAAACCGAGCAATTTCCAACACTTGCAGATAGCCTGAAAACGTTCAGAAGAATCACAACTATTTGCAAGAATCAAAGCTAGAAAAGTCATCAACCCATCTTGCTCTATGAGACATTGACATAAATATGGCTTGGTAATTTCAACCTGCATTAGCTAGTTCATTCATGAAGAAAACAGCTAAGTAAAACTAATACCAAACAGACACAATGTAAGTCCTAGTAAAAGCAAAGATGAATAGTAGGCACAGATCACTTGATAACTTGAACATTCTGAAATATACTATCTACACATTCATTTCAACTCCAATTGTACACCAATGTGAGCATTACACTGGGATTATATATGTTCAAAGAACAACTTTACTTGATGAAGCTCTATGTGGAAAATAGCATACAAAATCTGCTTCTAAATCCCAAGTCCCAGGAAATCTTCCAGGACAAAGAAAGAAGCCTCGTACCTTTCATTACGAGTCAACAAGCAAGACGAGGCAAAGAACCTACCGGTGCAACTCCCTATGTCTGCAACTCACTAATACCGCATCCACAATGTTCTATGACACAATTATTGAATTGAGCCGCATTATCAGCAAACCACATCAAAAGAAAAGGGTTAATTATATCAAGACCCCGTCAATTACTAACGTATATCATATTCCTTCATCTATGAACCCATACATATAGACCCTCTCAATTATATAAAAAAAAGCGTACGAATCCCCCTTTCTGGAGGGGTGAAAGTGGTACATTTTTTTTTAATATATTTTAAGGGTCAAAATGTACGGGTTTATAGATGAGGGGGGTAAGGTGATATTCACCAATAGTTGAGGGAGTCTTGGTGTAACTAACCCAAAGAACAAGTAGTAGTCCCCTTCTGCAAGCCATTGCAAGCATTAATTCTTTTAGGCACCATCTTTAATAGAGCTGGGGATGTTTGCATAGGGGGGTAGAATGGGGAGAATGATGTGGGACCACTGTCTAAGTCGAAAGTTTCATGAGAAGATGATTGGCTGTTCTCACCGGAGAAAAAGAATCGTGGATGAAGCTATATCCGGAAGTCATGCAAGAGAGTAAAGAAATGTCAATTGAGAATGCAATTAAGTAGGCGGTCCGGTAATGTAATATAGGAAATGGAGAAGTGGTAACACAGAAAGCAACTCTTACTTGTTTGCTAGTTTTGCTCTAGCGGTTAGTGCATTTGGAGACACTTGCAACGGCTCAAGTTTATAATTAGGGCGCTCTCTTGGAGATCGTACTTTAGCCTGTCAAATTACAAATGTTATAGTATAAATCATTGAGAATTAAGTGAAAATAGGAAGTATTGTAGTCATGATTTACCATCAATTTCATTCCATTAAGTGCCTGAGTGCAAGCTGGAACATCAAGTTGCTGTGAGTTTTTCAAGAATGGATGTTCTAATAACATGCTAGCTGATGGCCTCTCTGCTGGATTTCTACGAAAACAACGACGTAAGAAATCCTTGCCTTCAGATGACAATGTTTCAGGTATGGGTGGGATATCTCTTAAAACTTTGAACATGGCTGCAGCCTGCATTACAATAAGGGCATTGTGAGAAGCTTAATTAATAGAGAGGAAATAAACGAATACGGTAATAAATTTGACTCCATCAGAAGCAGAAACAAATTGGAGTTGCAGGCAGAAGTTAGAAGTTCATATCAGACCATGATCTACTCAATCCTATAACAAAAATTCAGATAATGCAGAAAATGAAAAATGCAATTACACAAAACAAAACCTCCCATAATGCAGCAAATGGAGATGAATTGATATAATGTAAGAGGCATTGGATGGTGCAGATAATGTAATAATCTTAATAGCTAATATTGATCTTCTCTCAATGCCAGAGAGACATTTCTTTTCCTCTTCTGTCACCATAGGAACAAAAATAAACTAATTTTATTGGACTCCTGTTGGAACTCCATTCTTGAAATCATGTTTAACATCTCTTAATCATTTCCCATTAGTCAATCTCTTTATAGTTATATGGCATAGATGAATGATTTCTACATGCTAAATTTCCATCCTAAGAAACATGACGATACATTGTCAAAATGTTAAGTACTCAACCCACGAAACCTTTCCCTTTTGTTTTTGGTCTCTATGGATCTTTCTTGTTCAAATTTTCATCTATCCCTTCCTTCCTACTTTCAGGTTTTGTAATGTGATTGTGCACTCCTCTTCCCTATTTTGAGATTGTTTCATGTGATCCAACACTCTGCAATGCTCACACAGCCTGGTAAGTGTTGATAGTCATATGATCGGAGTAAGACTCTCTCTCTCTCTCTCTCTGTGGCTGTAAAATACCATGGAATGTCAGCAAAAAATCCAGTAAAACTGTAAAAAGTTTAATATATTGAGAAATATACAGCCAGTATATGCGTGCCAATGACAAAAAGTAGATAAAGAAAGGAAGTGTAATGCAGGGTAATAATCAAGACAAGGTAGTTTGATATCTATAGAGAAGAAAGGGAAGGAAAAGATAAGATAGGATCATAAAAATTGAAGGTAGATGAATAATCGTGAAAAATGTGAAGAATGGTGTTGAATATTGGCATTCTAGAGAGAATATACAAGTCAAATACAATATAGTATCTTTTATGCAACTCCACCAAGCCATAGAAAGACATATCCAAGAAGATAATAAATCCATATCATGCTTCACATATAACACCAGTAGAGAAAGGAAGTATTTTAAAACAATAATGCACAATTTAGGTAAGAATTTGGATTTCTGTCCAATAACTGAAGGACAGAGCCATTCGGAATAAGTGACAGTCCATTTGGCATAAGTGACAGTAGGAAATGTACAACTGGGATCTAAGATGCAACATACAAGAGAAACAAGTAAAGATAACGAGAAGCCAACCAGAATAATTTGACATAAATGACATATTTGAAAACTCCATTTACTTTTAGTGCCCCAGCAAAATAGAGGTCATGACAAATAAGCCTATTAAGCAATGTTAAAAGCTTACCCCTTCATACTCACTCCAAGGAGGTTTCCCATTCAGCATTTCAATAATAGTACAACCCAAACTCCAAATATCAACAGCTAGAGCAAGATCAGAACTAGTATCTTTCTGCATTACAGATTGTAAGAGCTGCAGGAAAGACAACGATGTTAGGCTTGGGAATGAAGGACGTAGGGTGTAACCTTAAAAATTTTGATGTTAGAGCAGGAAGGTACCTCAGGAGCCATCCAGTAAGGACTACCCTTTAAGGAAAGACTAGATGCTGGACCAGCAAGCTGCATAACAAACCAAATTTTAACTCCAATCACAGAAAACATTAAAAATGCACAATAGGTGAATCTGAATGACCACAACTACAGCAACAATGATAACCATAACAATGAATTGCCACCAAGAAAAAACATCCCATGAGGAGTCATAATTAGCTTCTAGTCAGTTTGTTTGTACAAGTTGCTAATAAGGTTTTTAAACACTTTCAAAAAATTGAGGCTCACTCAACCAATAAACTGTTAATAAGTGGTCATGGTTCACTACACTGTCGAATGTCAGTGCAGGGTAAAGGCATTTGTCAACACGTGGATTCATGGGTTCAAAAGTTCAATTCTTCTTTCCACAAAGAGAAGAATAATAATAAGAGAGAGGCAGACAAAAAGAGAAACCACTATACCAATGTTTGCACAGTCCTCTTACAGGAATGTTCTGCACATACCCTCTATTACCCCTTTTTTTTTTCTATAAAAAAAATAAAATTAATTGAAGATATCAAAACCACTACCCACCGAGCAGGCTTTTCAATGGTGAATCATCGTTTAATAGAGTGTTTTTAATTGATACATCTGAAGGTAATTACAAATATGTACAACTACCAAAGTGGGAGAGAAAGACATTCAACAAATATGAGTGGGGAATGGACCCACACACAAGTGGGGAAACCCCTGGCCTTGCAGTGAGGTGCTGGGATTTTTGGCCAACAGGCTAACCCCGGTTGGTTATCTGTTAGAGACTTGTACTTGCAGAAAATCCAAGTGTTATTTATGTGTAAACATAAAATTCCAGATCTCAAGCAAAATTTTTGCAAATGTTGTTGACACAGTTATCTTTTTTGTTTTTTTGTTTGTTTTGTAAGTACACATTTATCATCAATCATCATGCAAACATTCTAGTACCTAATAAAATTTAGAACTGAATGAGTAAAAGATAGGCCATGACCCATAAGAAAGAAATACAAAGTATTGAACGTAACAAGCCCTTAATGACCTAATAGTCACGGGTTTGAGTCACGGAAACAGCTTCTCTGTTTGCGGGGGTAAGGCTGCGTACATCAACCCTTCCCCAGACCCCGCTTAAGCGGAAGTTTCGTGCACTGGGTACGCCATTCAAAATTAATTCACATAAGGTTGAATACTAACTAACGATCATAATCCAAGGCAATTTGCAAACAGCAATTGGAATTCATGCACTCCATGTGTCAATATGAAGCTTCGAATTGAATAGTCCCAATGTTAACAAACATTGTAGCCACATTACTTGATGTGTTTAGTTGTTTGTGTCCGTGCGTGCAGTGTTTTTTAAGGCAAAAGGCAAACCGAGGCGACATGGCCTCCTAAGGCCTAAGCACGAGGAGACGAGACGAGACGAGGTGAGGGCTTCATTCAAGAACACTAAGGATATTTCTTAAATACTCTGGACAAAAATTTCAATATTTCCAAGTGCCAAGATGAATACACCATTCCAAATACAAAATATTTATTAAAAACATAAAGGTGTGTTTGGTTTGCTTTTGAGAGAGATTTCAAAAAAAAAAATTGGGGAGAGAGTTTAGAAATTTTTTTGGTTTGTTTGGTTGTATATTTTGAAAGGAGTTTTGGAGTTTTGGAGTTTGAGATGATTTGATATTTTGTTGTAATTGAATAGATGCATATGAGAGAAAAAGTGATTGTCAACACCAAGTCGAAAACAGAGAAAACTGCCCTTTTAATTATGCTGTTTTAACTAATGCAACCAATTAACCCTACACAATTCTTCCATTCCAAAATAGGGAACTGTTGAGACACTTCAGTAATGATCTCCCACTTAAATTTGTGTCCAGCAATGTATATCAAGAAATGTATTAAATATCAAGCAACATGGAGAAAATTACAGGCATGACCCATTGACCCAGTACAAAATGTCCAGGAGGAAAGGACTAAGCACGTGAGGCAGCATTCGAGAAGACACAAAAGCTTAGTGTATTTATATGCATGCTTGGATATACTTTTCTACACATAGGAATTGCTACTTGTTCAATTAAACCATATATGTGTGTGTACTAGATATTGGAAAGTTTCATAACTTACATGTTTAGCCATCCCAAAGTCAGCAAGTTTGACAACCCCACATGCATCAACAAGTAAATTAGCCCCTTTGATGTCCCTATAAATGAAACCACTGTCAAACTTGGCATGCCAGACATGTTACTCTAAATAATATCAAAAAACATGATATACTTTATCTGAAGACAGATGCAACACAGAATGCATAGCCATTTTCACCAAACAGAATTTGTCCAACCAACTTTAAAATTGATTCATCAAATAACCACACATAAATCATTACCTGTGAATTGTCTTTGTGCTATGCAAGTAAGCTAAACCAGAGAGAATATGGCGAGTAAAATTGCGCACAACAGATTCTGTAATTGCTCCACAATGTTCACGGATATATGTATTAATTGAACCAGGATGAACATATTCCAGATATATGTAAAACCGGTCTCCAATCTGCATGAGCATGATTTTGAATTCTCATTAAGTAACCAAGACCATCTATGCAGACAAATGCTGAGCATAAACAAGGGCACCAAAATGTGCAACATTACAGGAAAATTACTCACTATTTCACTACCATAATACTCCACGATGTTTGGATGCTTTAGCTGGCTGAGAACTTTAATTTCCTGTAAAGTTGGGAAAGCATGTTAGAGCAAACAGCAATTAACAAATACATACAAAAAAATTGATTCTAATTCTCTGAATAAGACTAACTATTATGGTTGAATCAGAAGAGAATCACACAACTCATTTAAGATGTTTTATCTGCATGTATTCTTAAAAGAGATAATGAAAAACCAATGGGAAGCGGACATGATCTCCACGAAAGCAAACCGCATATAACTTATAATTTGCAGCCAAATTTAACCAACTAAATGATTAATTTGCATCCAATAAATACAAAATATTAAACCATCAGATTGAGAAGAAATGGAATGATTAAGATTGGTGGATTTACCAACAATAAATCCTTTCTTTTTCATCACTCGTTGCAGAACAGACACTGCAGCACATTTCAGGTGGCAGTTACAAGAATGGGTCTGCATTGCATGCAGTCATCAAGCAATTCTAACACGCCTAATTCTACTATAAGAGTAGATGCACTTCCTCCATTCTACTCTCAAAACACTTGATAACACTTACTTAGCTTAAAGCACATATGTCATTTATTTGAAGGCACTGTTTCCCCTTCTATTCTTGATGTAATGAAGTCATAACAAAAACAAAGGACTTCTCTACATACTGATATGATCTATTCTATTACTTTTCTTTGATAAGTCATGATCTTTTCTATTACTTGATGGGATGAAAAACTACTGAAACATTTAATTCATCACTCCATTAATTATAATTGCAGTAGTAACATTTCTCATTTTTGTTGTCCAAAAAGCTTGTCATGTAATGGTATTAAATATACACACCGTGATATATGAGATCATTGTGAAATATCTATCAAAATACAGGGAAAAAAAAATGTTCAACATGATAGAGTATAAATCATAAATATACTAAAAGTAAGAAAATATAATAAATAATGGGAAACCAACCTGCTCTAATTGTTTTATACTCTCTGCAGATTTTGGATCATCAAAAAATAATTCAACTTCTTTCATCGCACATAGAGCTCCAGTTTCTCTATTGAGAAAAAAGAATATCATTAGTATTTAGTGCTGCAGAAACAACCTGCATAAAAATTAAAAAATAAAAAATAAGGGAACTTTTACTACCTGTTAGAGGCAACATAGACACTTCCAAATGTACCACGCCCAATAAGCTTTCCCTTTTGCCATTGAGATTTTATTGGCATTACCTCTGGTTTAGCTGTAGCTTGAGGAATCGGAGACGGCTTCGAAGGTGAAGTGGCTCCGGGAGGAAGAGGAAGGGGATGAACAACGGCCTGAGCATTACTATCACGCCGTACTGAATGGGTATCGACAGATAATTTCTTATGCAATGGTGATGGGGGTCCACTAGGAATTCTGGAGCTCTGGCGAGGACTTAATCTTGGACTATGGAGAGGCGAACTATCGACGCTAAATGCAGTTTTCTCAGGGGACAATATCTGATGAGAAAACTCAAGACCTAGATTCAAATCTAAAGGGGGCATCTCTGGTGCAGACCACATTTGAAATACTTGAGGAGACATACAATGAGATGTAATATTATCCCCAGCACATCTGTGAGGGCTCCGTGTAGGACTTGAGTAAGGACTAGTCGGAGCACTAATGGGTATGTTGAAACCGTAGTTGAATTGAAATCTTTCCATACAATTCAATTCTTGAGGAGACTTCCCAGACCGAGTGTCGGCGTGGTCCTTATTTTTCCGCGAGTCATGGAAAGGAAATGTACTGAAAACATAGATAATATCATAAACCAATTGAATCAGAATCTATAACATTCTCTACAAAATGAATCCCAATGGTGCAACAACTCAAGACGAAGTCTTTCAAATAGCAAATGAATAATAAAAAAATAAACTACAATCACCAGAACGAAGAATTTAAATAAAGGTCACCCAGAATGATTTTTTTTTTCCCCCAAACAATACAAGAGCCGTAGGCACATTGGAAATCTTTTATCCCAAACAAAACTAAAACGTAAATTTGTGCATCATGAAGAGAGAGGTTCACTGGATTCTTCTTACCACAACACACACACACACACACAGAGAAGAAAAGCTCAAAAATTGTTCAAGATATAATTTTGACCTAAAATGTCAACTCCAACCAGCAAATTGAAAAAGTTATGAATTGCATAAACATTTGTAAATGAATATCAATAAATTTATAGTTCCATAAATGCAGATTTCAATGAGTACATACATACGATAATTATTGAATTCTGAATCAATTTCGATTTTTTTTTACCTGCCAGATCCAGAGGTGGGCGAGACTCCATATTCATTTGTATCAACGGTCAAACCGTCTCTTTCTCTTTCTGTGTCCTCTCCGCCGCTGCTCAGCCGCTCTTTGGGCGATGGAAGAGGAACATTGACGGGGCTGGAGCTGAGGTTACGAGGCGAGGCGTCATGGCGGAGCAACACGGCCAATTCAGGAAGAGGCAAAGGCTGAGGAACAACAGAGGAGGAGGAGGAGGAGGACTGATTCTGAACGCTGGGAGAGCGCCATAGGAGGTCAGGGTGGTCCTTGGTAGGGTAGCGAAGCCTACTGGAGCGCGTGAGGCGGGGCTGATTGGAGCGGAAGACTCGGCTGCGAAAGGAGAATATCTTGTTTTTCAAAGCACTATCATCGGAATGACGCTTCGTGGATGAAGGTGAAGTTGAAGATGAAGATGAAGGTGAATGTGAAGCTGAGGAAGAAGAGAAGGGAGTTTGCCACCAATGCATTGGTAATTGGGCTACAACACATGGCCCGCCGGTTCTTTTATTTCATACGGCGGCGTATGGCGGAGTTCCGGTGGAAACCACCGACAAAAACCCTTGCAGTGTACCAGGGATAGAAATTGAAAATCTCTCTCTCTCTCTCTCTCCCCCCGCTCTTTCTCTCTCTCTCTCTGTGTAACGCGGTTTACTTTACGATAAGATCGTATAATAATAACGAAGACGAAGGCTCTTTCTCTCTCTCTGTATCTCGTTCAAGGAAGTCAAGGCTGCTGCCCCATTCCAAATGTTTAATTATTGTACTTTTTTATTATCTATTTATTTATTTTTATAATATAATGTTCAATTCTAATTTACCTTTTATACTTTTTATCCATTTTTGGTGTGGTGGTGGTGGTTGTTGCAGCTGTAATGGAAAAGGCAATTAAATGTCTACCTGCATTGCCAACTCATTCAATTGTTTTTTTTTTTTGGTTGTTTTTTTTTTTTTTTTGGTGCTAATTTTTACTTCTTTACTTTTTTAAAGAGTTTATTAAAATAGAAATATGAAAATTTCTTCTATGCTCTTTAATCTTATATATTAATTAACTTTACAAGCATATCTAAGATTACGTTGGGTAAAATTTTTTAAATATGATTTGAGAATAAAAGTGTATTTTGAATTTATAAATTTTAGAATTATGATTTGAGTGTGAAAAATTTGTTTGGTGAATGTGTTTTGAAAAGAGTTCTGAATTGAGTAGATAATTTTGTGATGTGACATATGATATTTGATATAAAAATTTACAACTCATAACCAAACATACAACTCAAAATTATATTCAAAACTCATACAAAATTTAAAAAAATTCTAAATTTTTTTATTTAAAATATAAAAAATAATAGATGCCAAAAAATAATAATAATAATAATAATAATAATAATAATAATAATAATAATAGCACTATTTGTTTTTTGAAAGGAAGATGATTAATAAAATTATTTTTTGAGAGGAAAAAATTATTATTTTGAAGGTTTTTTTTTTTTTTTTTCATTTTACCCTATTGCTGCTAGACTACTGTCGGAAAAGTCACCGCAAAATGGCTGAAAAAGTTGTCGAAGGTGTTGGCAATGGCTACTAGTAGTAGTAGTGATATGGACAAATAAGTAAATTGGGTAGACAAATTAGGTGACATGTGGACAAATAAACAAATAAATAAGTTGACAGTGAATAGATAACATATAGTTAGTAGTAATATGATCATTCAAATTATTTATCCTTTATTCTCAAAAGTTTTGAAATTGAACTTATGATTTGAGTCCCTTTTTTATACTCATCAATTGTTTGGAACAATTTTAAAAGAGTTGGGCTTCTCTTCCGTTGATTAGACCATTTAGTCCAAAACTATGAAAAGCGTTGGACTTCTCTTTAGTTCTCACAGTTTTTGGACTATACGATTTAATCAATTAGGGAAAAATTCAGATAGTGTTTGATAGAACTTTCTAAATATGATTTGAGAATATGAGTTGTATTTTGAGTTTGTGAGTTTTAGAATTTTGATTTGAGTGTGAAAAATTTATTTGATGAATGAGTTTTGAAAAGAGTTTTAAATTGAGTGGGAAATTTTTAATTTGACATATGATATTTGATACAGAAACTTACAATTCATAACCAAACACACAACTCAAAATTCAATTAAAACTCATTAAAAATTTACAAAATTCGGAAAATGTTTTTCGTTTAATATATAAAAATTAATGTGTCAATTGTAAAAAAAAAAAAAGATTGCACTGTTTCGGTCAACCGGCTGCACGTTTAGTCCAAATTTTCTCACCTTCAACCAAGTTTTCAAAAATGAGCATGAAATTAATTTTTAAAAGCTGCAAACAAACACCACGTTAGAATCAATGACTGGAACTAAAGTTCCAAAACTGAAAAAAAAGAGCCTCAGTTCTTTTGAAAAATGAAAGAAAAACTGTGGTAGCGTTTGGTAAAACTTTTTAAATATGATTTGAGAATAGCAGTTGTATTTTGAGTTTGTGAGTTTTTGAATTATGATTTGAGTGTGAAAATTTTGTTTGGTGAAAGAGTTTTGAATCGAGTGGAAAATTTTTGATGTGACATATGATATTTGATACAAAAATTTACAACTCATAACCAAATACACAACTCAAAATTCTATTCAAATCTCATAAAAAAATTCAAAAATTCAAAAAATATTTTTTGTTGAATATATAAAAATTAACATGTGTTAATTGCAAAAAATAAAAAATAAAAAAAATTACTATTCCGATCAATCGACTGAACGATCGGTGGGACGACCGGTTAGTCTAAATTTTCCCCTCTTGGACAAAGTTTTCAAAAGTGAGTGTAGAATTAATTTTTAAAACTCGTAAACAAACATTACGTGCAAAATAAGCCCTTGAACTAACGTTCCAGAGCTGTACCGAACAGGGTCTTAATTCTTTTAAAAAACCAAACAAACATAATTATTATAAAAAAAAAAGAGTGCGCACACCAACTAAACTATACACGGTATATAATAGTGTAAGGATTAATAATTCACTCCTCAAATATTTAAAATTGTAACAATTTATTACTCTATAGCTATTGTCCTCAATTTTGAGACTTCTTCGTTAATTATTTTCTTTGGTTTTGGAAATATTGACATGAGTTCACTATAACTACAAAACTATTATTGGTGAAGCAAGATGTTTTATTTGTTATAATTCTAAAAATCGAAAATGCAATTACAAGTCAAACTATTGTACTCAATTTTTCACCTAAACTTTCAACTAAAGTAGAAAAATAAAAGGCGATAATGTAGACTTGTTCTTGCTTCCAAATCAAATAATGAACTTGAACAAATCTCACCACCAAATCTTATAGATGTTATTTGGACCTTGCCTTCATAAAACAATATTATTTTGATAAATAAATTTATAATATAGACCTATTTCAGAAAGTGATTATTTGTTAACTTTTAACCCACTTCTTTTTCTCAGAAAAAAATCAAAAAAAAAAAAAACTTTTAACTATCTATTCAAAACACTCCATAGTTTAAGATCACATAGTTTGATTTAAAAAATAACTGTTTAATTTGCTTTATCATTGTTTATTACCATGAATGAACTTGGATCTTGCAGAAGACCAAGTCCACCAGACAAAGAGGGTTGTACAGTGTGTCCATATGAATGCAGTCAAAAGTCAACCCCACAAAAAAGTAATAATAATCGATGCTATCATCTGGTCTTTGACAGCAAATCATCTACCATTGGCCCCATCTTAAACGTTTTTCTATGTCCAAAGATAAGATGCTATCAAAAGTTCCCATCCATTTGGTGTTGTTGGATCAGTCCATCTAAATATTTTAGTACAAAATAATAAGTCATCATCCATGGATGGCATTACTACTATAATCTAATAGCAAACTATTTATTTGAAATCAAACTAAGCATGAGCACAGACTAGTTTGTTTGTTAGACTCTTTGCACTATTGAAGAGGCTAATGGTTTGATTATTTCTATCTGTGTATATATATATATATATGAGTGTTATTCTCAATGTGTTTGTTTGGCATCTCCCTCGTTTGCTTGTATGTGAGTCTCTTTTGACAAAATTTGATTTTGTTAAAATAACGCTGTGTTTGGTTGGGAGTTTTGGGAAGGGAAATGGAAAGGGAAATGGAAATGAAAGGAAAAGGAGAAAGAATTAATAGAATTCCAAATCAAACTAAGCATGAGCACAGACTAGTTTGTTTGTTAGACTCTTTGCACTATTGAAGAGGCTAATGGTTTGATTATTTCTATCTGTATATATATATATATATATATATGAGTGTTATTCTCAATGTGTTTGTTTGGCGTCTCCCTCGTTTGCTTGTATGTGAGTCTTCTTTTAACAAATTTTGATTTTGTTAAAATAGGAGTATTACATCTTAAATGAAGGATGATGTGAAGGAATTCGTACGCACAACCGTTAGTGGTGCTTGTGAATTTCATGTTTGCCTAAGGTGGATGGAAATTTATGTGATGAAAGTCATCTTTTCTCAAAAAAATTTCCCACTAAATCCCTCAATGTGAATGACTTTAATAGATTTTTTTTTTTTTTTTTTTTTTTTGGCAGAAACTAGATTGTTACTTTGATAGTGTTTAATAAAACTAAAAATTAAATATTGAAAACTGAATGTTGAATTTTTTAAGTTAAAAAATCATTTGATAAAAATTTAAGTGCTGAATTAAAAATAAATTATTTGATATGTATAAGATCAAATTTAAAATTTATTATTTTTAAATTGTATATTTCAAATTTTATATTGTGATGGTGGTGGTAGCGGTAACAGTAGCATTGATGGTGGTGATGGTAGTAACGGTAGCGGTAACAATGATGATAGTAATAGAAAATAATGGTGGTGTTTATAGAATGACAATGGTGATAAAGATGGCAATGGTGATGACATGGTATGGTGGTGATAGTGGTGATGGTGACGGTAGTAACAATAACGATGGTGCGGCAGTGGTAATGGTAGCGGTGGCAATGCCATAATGGTGGTGGTTGTGGTAGTAACGATAGTGGTAATGATGGTGATAGCGGTAGTGGTGATGGTAGTAGTGGTGATGGTGATGATGAGTTTATAACAGTATATATCGATATTTATGTTTAGTACTTATAAATTCAGTCAAAATTAAGTAAATTTTATATGACTTAAAATTTTATTAAATTTTAGTTTACATTTTAAGAGACACTTAAATTTTTAAATGATATCAATTGTGACTATCAAACGAACTTAATTAATTATTACTTAATATATTTAGGGCTGGTTTGACAAGTTTTAAAAAAATCAAAAAGTCATTATCCTATTTAAGTCACATCATCTTATTTAAGTCACATCACTTCTCTAACACATCACTTCAAACCCAACCCAAATCCAACCCATATTTCATGAAAAATTAAAAAGTACACTTATTTAGATCATCCCAAACAACCTCTTAGTTTTAAGTGCTGAAATAGATTCTTAAACACCTCATTTTTTTCAATTATTTAAATTAGTGATAAGAATTTTCTCTCTTAAATTATTTTGTTTTTTTTTTTTTTTTTTCTTATAAACCTTTTAATCCAAACAGGTTTTAAAGTAAAAACGAGTAGGAGAAACTAGATTGCTACTTGGACAGAAAGTGCAAAGGAAAAGAGAACTAGGATTCCTCAACCCTTTTTCCAGTTCTAGCTTTTA